ACAGCACACACAAATAATATATGCGTCAAAGTACAAAAAATAAGAGGAATGCTCCACTCACTATTGTGTAAGAAAAGCGTACTTAGTATTAAAAACAAACTGCTATTGTATAAGGCAATCATTAAACCTGTGATATTGTACGCAGCTCCGATATGGAGCAATACCTGTAAAACTAATATTAAAAAGCTACAAATCATCCAAAATGAATCGATCAGATCTATCAGTAAAGCGGAATGGTTCATATCTAATCTAGAAATAAGAAAGCAGACAAACATAAAAGACATCCTCGATGAAATACGCGAGCGAACAAAACAGTTTTATAATGAACAAACTAAAAACCTCCCAATACTCAATGATATTGGAACTATCAATAGACATAATGCGCCATTTAAAATTAAATACAAACTACCGCATCAGCTTATTATGCAATAAGCCAAATCTGTACACATCTATATATATGTATATATGTTTAGTTATAACTAGTTGTAAGCGCATAGGATTAAGAAAAACTCAAAAATAATTCGGATTTTTTCAAATTTTTACCCGAAGCCAAATAAGGAGCAATAAAGAACCAAAAATTAAATAACTCGTGATACGACATAAATAAGCTAGTAAAGTTCGCTAGAATAGGAATAGCTATAAAAAATAACATGTAAACCAAATAACATTTATTTGTGTGAAGAAACAAAATTTTATTGAATAAAGAGACTAAATAAGTAAGTAAGTAAGTAGAGAATCTGGAGCCGTGTTTTGGCGCGTCGACGCGCCACATGAACGAGAATCTCGAACTAGCTCCGAACTTGATTGGGGGAAAGAATTCGTGTGTTCCTCGAGATCCACGATTTTAAACCGGGTGAACACTCAAATAGGGAGACTTGTATCCACCTGTTTTTACTGGATATTACATAAACCGTAGGAACGAGATAGTTAACTGTGGCAATGCTAATACCTTAACATCCATATCAAGCTCTTTAAATAGTAGAGTAAGCAAAGAAAATTTTAAACAAACTCTCAAACGTGGGTAACTTTAGAACTAGTTTCCTATATAATATGTCACAATGACTGGGTGGTACACGTGCTTGGTACTAGATTAACGTCCGAGAGTTTCGAGTTCAAAATTCATGTCTTTTCCCTTTTTTTTAATTATCATTTATACTTATTGGTACAGTTAATTAACTTAAGATTCTTTAAATACATGATTATATTAGACTACAAATATTGTATTATGTCACATCGTATACATGCAATAAATTGGTACATGAATCAGTGAACGTTTCTTCTTTCCGAGAGCCTGCCTGTGAGAAACACCTATGGCTTGCTGTTTCATTTTCCAATAACATAAAGAATATTCAGACGGGTAAAGAAGGCATTACGAAAAATTACCAAAAACAAAATTGCCTTTATTAATCTCGGGCATAAAATGATGAGCATATAAAAGTGAACCAATTATTTTCTATGGTGAGATGAAACAAATAATGTATCTGGTTAGGGATTTTTTTTCATTTAATTTTTATCATGCAAGGCTACGGAAACACAACATTTTTAATACATCGAACTATCAGAAAATTATATCGAAGTAGAATTTTAATTCTGAATTATTATTTACATCAGAACATACTGATAATTCGAGATATTAAAAATAAAATTATTTTTTCGTATGCTTGAATAAAGAAATTTCACTAAATTGAATGAGGCTACTCAAAAATGTATGGAACTAAAAATTTCTAAGCAGATACCCTATTTGTCTCATCTCACCATACATAGTAAATAATTGTGTGATTCTTTTATGCTTTTCATTTTTTTACCTGACATCAATAAGTGCAATATTTTGGGACATTTTTTACTGCTTTTCTATTCGACTGAATTGTATTTAAACTATTAAAAAGTGAAACAGCCTGCCATACGTGTGAGTGTTATTATATTCTTCTTTTTAATCAGACCACGCTGCGGCCACGGCATATTAAAACAAAAAATGAAATGGAGAAGTGTGTCTATGTTAGAAACGCAAAAGCGTTAAGCGCATGAAACGAGATTTTTTCCATCACTGTCAATTTTTCTCTTATCGATCATCTTCATGAGAGTCCGTATCGCAACAAGTGAGACTGCTGACTTCAACAAGCTATGGATTGTCATACATCAAAAATATGCAATGGCCGCGTTGGCAACGATTCAGCTTCGTGATCGTAAGGTGCCGAGTTTGCGTCTAGAGACGGTTGACGTCCGTGAAGCGGGGTTACGGGTGAAACAGCGAGTTAGGGCGGCGGACCTAGGCGATCGCAACGCCACAACGCCAAACGCCGACGAGGAATCTCCATGGACCAAAAAGAAGTTACGACTGTCGTTAAGAAAGCTAGAGGTAGACCAAAGGGTTTCGACCAGCAAAAAAAAAGCCTACAATCAGCCGTAAGAAGACGCTGGATAATTACGTTAGCAACAAGGAAGAACAAAAGACGCACGATGCTGATAGTCCAAGTGATACTTCAACACGGTGGGAGTCTGTTAGTGACAAGGATCTGGACGGCCCTGACAATTTGGTTGAAAGTGACATTTTCGCTCCGAGACATAAATTTGCAAAAACATCAGTGCCTTCATCAATAATGATAACACAAGTCGATACGTGGAGTGATATCGAAGGCACAGACTAGACCGGTTCTCCGAAATAAATGAAGGAGGTGGGCCTGCCCTACCTACGTTTCCAGATTCAAATGGGTTTCAGGGGTTTCGGAATCGAGGAAACCAGAGGCAACAAGACTACAGCGGCTGGAGATAGACGGCGGGAGATTCGAACGGTGTCGTGGAAGATTGCTGGTGTGAGGAAGATTCACCAAGTCTGGGACTGGCTCAAATAGTACGACATCATCGCCCTCCAGGAGACATGGATGGAGCATAAACAGGAAAATAATATTATAGGTAGTCTAGATAGGATCTTTGATTGGACAATGAAACCACGGATATGAATAAATAAAACAAACCGTGCTATAGGGGGGCAAATAGTAGGGTTAAGGAAAGGTACAATAAAAAATGAAATAATAGGTGAATGGAAAGGAGGCCTAGTAATTAAAGGGATCAAGCTATGCAATAGAAGCGGTAAATTCACCAGCATAACTATTTATATCTGTGGTTTCCGAAAACTTGAAAACGAGCTTGGAATCGAGATACAGATGGCATTCGAAAGGGAGGAAGCGATTCTGTTAGTTGGGGACATAAACGCTAGGCTAGGAGAAGAACGATTAGAAGGCGATTGGAAGATAAACTATTGGATAGTGAAGGGAAAAAGCTATTGGATTTTTGCGAAAGGAATTGGCTAATAGTCATGAATGGGACGTAGAAAAGGAAACTTAACATTTGTTGAAGATTCCGATGGCTCGGTCATTGAATACGTCATAATCAGTGACGAAAACCAATTGTTAATCAACGATCTAAAAACAGAGGTTAGAACTGAATCTGATCACCTTCCAATTTCGCTTAACCTTGGGAGCACAACTCAATACAAAACAGGTACAGAGGTTCATACAAATGAGCGAACAAGCAATAGGGAAATTAGGAAAAAGCTAGTATGGAACGGTGAACTTAGCGAAGAATGCAAGGAAGGATTTCTCGAGGGGTGGCACCGCCTGAAGATAAATGGGATAGATTAGTTAAAATAATTTGGAACACGGCACATAAAGGTGGAATGACTAGAAAGCTAGGAAATGGGTTACAAGGTCCTAAAGAATGCCGTAAAGAAATCAAAGATCAATAGAAAATAGTCTTCACGAGTCTAAAGAATATCTTGGCTAATAGGGGGACCACTGGGAAAGAGGCGATAAGAGAGCTAAAGAAAATAAATGACAAAGAGAGAGCACACTGGGAAGAAATGCTCAAAATGATAGAATGCATCTATGGAAGGGGTATCCCTTGAGCCCGCTTCTTTTCAATTTCTTTATCGAGGACATTTACGAGATATGGCGGCGTAAAAATGAGGGAGACTGTGTAATCGGAAAGGAAAAAATCTTTGCTTTGAAGTTCGCAGACGATATAGTCGTGGTCTCAGACGATGGTAAAGTCTTGGGAAGCACGATCGCGTCATTGAAAAAGTATGTAGACAGAAACAAATTGATTATCAACATAGGCAAAACAAAAGTACTCGTGTTCCAAAACGGAGGTAGGAAAAACGAAGAATTGGAAATCGTCAGAGTATAAATATCTGGGTAGGTGGTTCTCCTCTGGAAATACATTTGAAAAACATGTTGATAGAATATCTGGAAAAATGTACAAGGCGATCAATGCGGCATGAGGCGTTCTCAAAAGAGTAAAAATTGGTAGCCTCAAGCGACGTTTAGTGCTTATGCAGTCGTTGGCAAGAAGCGGGATGTTGTATGGGGTGGAAGTGTGGAGCTGACATTGTAAAAGAGGATTAGAACGTCTTCATTCCAGATATGCCAAAATGGCAATGGGCCTAGGTAGGAATACACCTAACTAAATCTGACGATTAGAGACAGGGCAGAAAGGAATTAAAATTGAAATTTGGAAGCGAGCAGCAAACTATCTGGTTGAAATCTTTGAAATGAGCGATGACCGCTGGCCAGAAAATGTCTGAAAGAGGAAATAAGGAGTATTCTGAACCGAAATCCTTTAAAATGGGGAAAAGAACTTCAAAGGGCTATGGAAGATGTGGGTGAGGAACGATTTTTGGTCGAGTTAAGAGGGTGATAATGTAGATATTGTGGAAATTATTAAGCACGGAATTAAGTTAAAAAGAAAAGGTAAAACGGACTAAGAGCGACAACTTGACTGGACGAAAGTCGAGTTCTAGCTACTGCTCGGATTATAATAGAAAACACGGAGTCGAAATGGAAGCTTATTGGGAGGATCCTGATATAAAAGCTAATATCAAGAAAACATGGGCGAGATTAAGATGCGGAAACGTCGGTAGTAATGCAAGGAAAAATTTCTGTGATAACAAATGTATTATATGTAACGAAGAGGAAGAGTACCTCTCACATATTGTTAAATATAAAGTCACGAGAGAGAGAATGACGCATGAGCTAGTCTATAAGTTGGATAAATGGATCGCTAATGCAAAAGACTGGCAGCTGGGAAGGAAGAATAAATAAAGAATAAAAAAGATAAATGTTTGCATGAGGGGTAACCCTGTACCGGCTATATGTAATTATATTAAGGAATTCCAAAGACTGGGACAGAAAGAAAGAAAGAATGCCAAGGTATGAACGGAGTAGGTTAAGAAATGGTTATAAAACTTCTGTAAAGATCCCAAAAGATATACATGCAATTCACAACATACAATAAGATTATTATTATTAATATTGTTTTAAAAAAAATTCTTAAAAGTACAAAAATAAAGATAAAATTCAAAAACTAAAACTGTAACTGTAGAAGCTCATTCTAAAACTCTCCCAGGTCTAAGAGAGCATCTTACTGCTTTCTAATATCAACATAAATTTAGTCATAATATAATTAAATATGTGTAACAATGAAAAGAATTCTATAAGAAAAGAAAAATTCACTTTAAACGCCTTAAAGCTGATATTTGGACAGTGTGCTGGCTTAGAGTAACTGTGAAGTTGCAGAACGAGTAGTTCTGTTTATGAAATGGTATTGATTGTTACGTTGTAAAAAGGTATTCGTGAAAGGATACGTATAAATTTTGTTTTTTAAATATAATGCATTAACAGTTTTAAATTAGTATTAAGAGATGAAGAAACATAGCGATTCAATCATGAATCGGGTGCATATTCTACGTTAAACCATTTTGCGGCCCTAAAAAGGGCCATTTTTGTTTAATTGATCGACACTGTTTACGCCTTCTTCTCAGTCTTCTTGGGTAGCAGAACTGCCTGAATGTTTGGAAGCACACCGCCTTGAGCGATGGTCACACCAGACAGTAACTTGTTCAGTTCCTCGTCGTTACGAATGGCCAGCTGCAAATGACGTGGGATGATCCTCGTCTTTTTGTTGTCACGTGCAGCGTTTCCCGCCAATTCCAACACTTCAGCAGCCAAATACTCCATAACGGCCGCCAAGTAAACAGGAGCTCCAGCTCCGACTCGCTCGGCATAGTTGCCTTTGCGAAGGAGCCTATGAATACGGCCGACGGGGAACTGGAGGCCAGCCCTGCTGGAGCGAGACTTTGCCTTTCCCTTCACTTTTCCGCCTTTGCCACGTCCAGACATTATAACTTCTCTGTATAGTAATCACACACAAGTTATTCGTTCGACAAGCGAAGCAACTATGAACGTAAATTTTCCGGCTGAACGCTTATGTAGGAAAGAGGGCGCTTCGTGCGCACCAATCGCGTTGCGTCTCACTGTTGGCGTTGCACGCGCTAGCGCCTGATTGGTGCGCCCACGGCCCTGCTACTCCATATAGAGCGTGCCCAAGCGGGCGGTCCCCACATTCATTGAATATTTCGTACGAGTGACTTTGCGTGACAATAAACTGATCGAAGCATCATGCCACCTAAAGCAAGCGGAAAGGCAGTGAAGAAAGCTGGGAAAGCCCAAAAAAACATCAGCAAGACCGACAAGAAGAAGAAACGCAAGAGGAAGGAAAGCTATGCCATCTACATCTACAAGGTGCTGAAGCAAGTCCATCCCGATACTGGAGTTTCCAGTAAAGCTATGAGCATCATGAACAGCTTCGTCAACGACATCTTCGAGCGCATCGCCGCCGAGGCGTCCCGATTGGCTCATTACAACAAACGTTCCACCATCACGTCTCGTGAAGTACAAACAGCTGTGAGGCTGCTTCTACCAGGAGAACTGGCCAAGCACGCTGTCAGTGAAGGAACCAAAGCTGTCACCAAGTACACAAGTTCCAAGTAAAGCTACTTGGCTGAATTACGAATTTCCAAAAACCGGTCCTTTTCAGGACCATAAAAAGTTCTTACGTTAGCTTCAACATTCACAGCATATCTCCTTAATTGATTTTCCATCCTTGTATAAAATCTTTAACCTCTTACATTCCATTTCCTGAAAGACGGTATTTCAATTTTGAAGTAACACAACATTTCATGAATATCGTTTTATTTATTTTCAACTTTGTAACATTGTACGTTTTAAAGCAGCTATGGAATTGGGAATACCGATACATAAAGGAAAGAAAGATCAGAGTAGGTCAAACTTGGAAAAAAGCAACATTACTTTTGGAAAAGCGACAGTTAAGGTAGTTGTATAAAACCATTTTCGTCAATTGTTTCAAAAATTATATGCCTGATATTTGAAATAAGTAATACCTGTAAAATGAACCTAATTTTATTAAGATTGACCGTTCAGAAATATGGGGAAAAAATATAAAAGTTTACAGTTTTTACATGCGGATTCTTTATGTAGTAGATAAATTGAACATATTTCATTATTTTTTCATCTAAATGAGTCGTGAGATATTGATAAAAGATAACTATATGATAAATTGATATAAAGAGAACGCGAGTAAAAAATTTCAAAATTGTTTACCGTTTTGTTTCGAAGATATTAGTTGAGGCGAAGAATTCGTCCACCGTCCATCTCACTATCGTGATTGTTGCACATGTCCGTGCAGATGAAACGGATATTTTAATATGTTTGAGAACACTGAACTGTACGCTTTCAAACGTATATCCATTTCAAACTTATTTTAACGAATAATAAAAGCAAAATAGAATTAATTTAATTTAATTCAATGTATTTTTCAAAGGATATTTCATTGCAATATTATCATAGATATTGAATGTTTCTTTCCCTTTTTGGATATGACTGCCGCGCGACAACTACCTTAAGGCTAATGTATGCAGTGAAGAATATTTCGTCGAATATGATTGACCAACTGAGGCTTTAAGACTACAAATGTTAAGTTTCTCAACGTAAAATCGGTAAGTAGAAAAAGAAATTGGCAATCACTTATCAGTGAATTAATCTTAAAATCCCTAAATTAAAGAAAATAAACGTTTCCGCTATTACA